ATCCCTGCATAATTGTTTTATACTCACAGAAATGGCTACTCTATTTCAATTTTATGATGAGTTGAAAGCAGAGCGAAAGGTCAGCCTGAGACAACTTATCATTGTATTTACATTTCCCGTCCCCATCTAGAAGGGGACCGTCACTGGTGACATTTAGGTATCAGAGTCCATGGGGAAACTGTGGGTGCTGGTGAGCCACAAATTTCCTTCCGTGGAATCTGACTGGGGTGAATTTGCAAATGCCTTTGGTCACAGTGACAAATTGAAAGAAGGCAGAATGCCTAAAAGCAAGAACAAATGATACAGGTGCCAAGGATGTATTATTAAGGCCATGTATACAGAAGTAGGCATTGCATACATACAAACTAATCAAATGTAAAGTAGACTTGCCTCTGTTTATTAGAAAAAAACCTCTTTAAAAAAAGAAAAACTAAGTAAAACTCGGAACTTCTATGAGCTCTTGATGGTAAGACTGCATCGTTACATCTTCTCTTTCTAGTTCCATATTCACTCCCTGCCCTCTCTAGCACCTGACATAGTATCTGGGCCATAGCAAATGCATGGATTAATGAAGAAAATGATGGATAAAGAAACATCTGATATAATGTTATAGTGGTGTTCATGCGAGAAATAAATCATAAGGATGTTTATTTGAATTTATATACTACGGGTTCAAGAGTTGCAGACAAAAGCTCAGAGCTCTTAATTCCTAACCTGTTTTACATTCTAGGTCTTTGGTTTGGCATGAAACTTAGTTTCTTAATGCTTTCAACGATATTTGCAAAATGGAGAGATGAAAATAAATATCATGTTTTAAATGATGAGAATAAAATACAATAGGTAAATATTATTGAAAATGTTATAATACTATGTAAATTTGAGGGTTTTTTTTTCTTTTTAAAGTGTCGTAGCCACTGTTTTCTATCACAATTCCAAACTCAACTACAATTCATTAAGTTAGACCTATTATCTTTCTTAAATTTACAAGACATCATCATCTTCACTATAGCTAGATAAATCGAGCCGAGCAGGTGTGGCTTAGTGGCTGAGCATAGACCCAGGAACCAAGAGGTCATGGGTTTGATTCCAGGTCAGAGCACATGCCCAGGTTGCAGGTTCAATTCCCAGTAGGGGGTGGGGGGCATGTAGGAGGCAGCCAATCAATGATGTTTCTCTATCATCAATGTTTCTATCTCTCTGTCCCTCTCCCTTATTCTATCTCTCTCTCAAGAAAAAAAAAATCGGTAAGAAATATAAACCAAAATTTGATTCATAGATTTCATCGTTTAGTCTTTGGGCTAACCATGAACCAGTCAGCGATAACAAACATGGCCTGTTTTCATTCTAATGGTACGGAAAAAATACTCTTGTGCCACCTTTGTTTAGGAAATTACTTGGCTCTGTGCAAATTTAAAAAGACATGATCTTCGTCTGTCTTTTTAGGGGTTTAAATGTGATTTAATACATGTCTACCCTCAGCCAAAGATGTGGTTCTATCCCAGCATTGCTGTGCTTGGAGAGCACAGGGTGTGTCTCTGCTCTGGTGGAATGAGGGCAGTACTATGCCTCCATCCCAAAATATCAGCGGAAGTAAATGAGAGCAGGATGATGCCTCATAGTTCATAAATCCATAACCCTAACAGTTACTGATGTAACAAACAGTTTGCAATGAATACCCTGACCCCACGTAAACGTTTCGAATTAAGAAGTGGTTAGGTCTATTTTGGAAGTGCATTTTTGAAAGCCCTGGTATTTTGGAGCTCTCAGGCTTAACCATTAGAGGAACACAGTCATCACCGGCCGGCCTTAAGATGTGGTTGGAAAGGTCAAGCAGCCATCCCGGAGAAATGCAGGATGCAGCTCTCCTGTGTTCTTTCTGTCTCTTTCTCCCCGGCCAGAGGAGGTGGGGGCCATTCCAGTGTGCCTGGAAACATGTTTGAGGGATGCCCGAGGAAGACTGCAAACTTCCTAGATCAATGACCGGGACAGCCTGAAGTCAGAGCCCCAGACACAAGGGCACATCCTTTTGAACCGTCCCTTCCCTGGATGTGACATGAAGGAGTTAACTCGGTTGATGTGATGCACTTGAAGAAGGAAAGGTTCTCTTTAATTAAGACGACCAGCAATGCAGATGCCGGGAGCTCTGTGTTCCAGACCCGGTACAGTAAAGCGGAATGAAATGTCTAGCAGCCTCGGCAGCAGGCTGGAGCCGTGTTCAGAGCAAGCTAATTTAATTAGTGTTGATCATGACTCCAGATGATGGTGATTTGATAAGGAATAATTTAGTACTTAACAGCCTTTTACATGCACCAACTCCATGTGGGAAGGTAAAGCAAATTGCACAAAATGAATGTGCTGCTTTGCCTTGTGCCCGTGCCAGTGAGCTGGAAAACTGCCTGTGAGCAGCCGCTCCGGCTCTCAGGCCCAGGCTGAAACACCCAACACGGCCTCAGCCCAGCCCTCTCTCTCCTGGGAATCTCCATCCTCCCCTCATTGGAGAAGAAAGAAGTCATACTTTCTTGTGATATAGGATCTCCAGGCAGCAGGAAAGGGGACGTGAGGACAGTGAAGTAGCGCGTATTCCTGTGTAAAGTGTTCAAGTTATTTAGGGTGGCTTCTCTTTGTTTGCCTCCCATGCAGCAATTAAAAAAAAAAAAAAAAGATCCTAGCCAACTCACATTCATTGGATTACTTCTTTGGCTTCTGATTAGAAAAAATAGAATCACAGTTCCAAGAGCCCATGATGATGAAGAGGCCCACACACGTTGACTGTGCTAACCAGAGGGTAGGGAAACCCTCACGTTCCGGAAGTAGAGGACCTGGGAGAATTCTTGAGGGTTGGCATCTCACGAAAAGGAAGACATTGTTTTTGTTTGTGCTTAAGTCTCTTCAAGCACTGGCCCCACTTCAATGCAGCTCACACTGGATCCAGGTGGTGCCAAGTAGCACAGCGGATTTGAAATTAATCCAGTTATGACAATCACCTAGAAATTTTGTCACATACAGAAGCCTGATATATAACCCAGCCTCGGGGAATCAGAACTTCTGGGAATGGTATATTCGTTTGCTAGGGCTGCCATTACAAACTGCCATACATCGGGTGGCTTATGCAACACACATGTCTTGTTTCAGAGTTCCAGAGGCCAGAAGTCTGAGGTGAAGGTGTGGGCAGGGCTCTGGGTGCTGTGAGTGTCTATGCTGTACCTTTCTCCCATCTTGTGGTGGTTTGCTGGCAGTCTTTTGGCAGTGGGTCTGATCTCTGCCTTCATCTTCACATGGTGTTCTCCTGTGAGTGTCTCTATACTCTAATCCCCCCATTTTGTGAGAACATGAATCATATTGGGTTAGATCCCACCCTGATGACCTCACCTTCATTTATCTACTGAATAAGGGCAGAGGTGAGGACTGAACTAGGGTTAGGACTTCAGTATTTGAATTTTATAATATGGAGTCTGGAAATCTTTGTTTTGCGTTGTTTTCTTTTTTTTTTAAAAGTTATCTGGGTAATTAGATTGTTGGCCAGATTTGGGATTATGAGTTTATGTATCAACTTGCTTCTGAAAACACTTAAGTGGGGTGGGATCCTTATATCCTTTCTTCTAAAGTCAATCCAGGAGATGTCTGAAAGCTTCTGAAAGCCCTAGAGCTCAAGACAGACATGGGATGATCACCACCAGGATGCTTCTAGTTTGATACTGTTGGGCATTTTGATAGGAGGTTCCTGGCAGGCTAGCAGCCACTTCTGATGGTGCCCAAACTCGTCATTCCTTCCCTTCCTCATCAGGAATTATGTCTCCTGTGCAGTTGAAGCACATTCTCAGATGTCTGCTGAAACAGGAAGCCAGATCATTATACAAATAGCTTCATTTGTATAGCATTGCTTGGTGCCTCTCACATTTTTAAGCTTTTTGTTGAGCTATGCATTTATTGTAATTTTGCAGATGTATATTATCAAATAAGCAGCGTGCAGAGCAAGATCTGAAATATTTCCACCACTGTAACAGGTTACCAGTGCCCTTTCCATTCTCATGTCTATTTTTTCTTTATTTTTCTATTTTTCTTTCTTTCTTTATTTATTTACTTTTACCAATTTTCCACGTATACTAAAATTTTAGTTGTCTGATAGGATCTCTAATAGATAAATTTAAATTTCATATAAAAAATAAAAAAATATGTAGTGTTAAGAGTTGCTTTTAAAGCTATGATTTCCTTCAAATATGCACGTCTTCTAGCCTTCATATTTTATGTGATCTTTGTATTTGTATAAAACGTTAATGAATATAAGCATCACCATATATTGTCATAGGAAGAAGGAGAAAACATGTGATAGAGAATAATTATTTTATGGTTGATTACAAATGACAACGGTCACATATTTTTCATATTTCATCCTCACAATTCTGATAAGTAGATAGGCAGATACTTTACCTCTGTTTTTCAGAGGAGCATTGCCTTCAAAGATGTGGAGATTTTTGTCTGCATTATCACTGGTTTCCAGTGGATTTGCACCTAAATTTCCTTTCTCATATCTGCCATTCTATTAATCCATTTACTATTGAGATAGTTTCCTCTCAATGATGCTTAAAATTATGTTTCAGTTTTCAGTTAATTCTTTTGCATTTTTTTAAATGTCTTCAGTTAATTCTTTTCTATTTGTTTTCTGTTTTAATCATTGGAAACCTTCCTGAAATGTTTTCAAAACATATTTTCTGAAAGCAGAGCTTTTAAAACTAATATCAGCTAAGCAAATTACAAGGGATTCCCTTAAAGTTGAGGAGAGTTCAAACATGAATTTTGTTAGACAGTAAACAGAAAAGCAGGTTACAGAGATTCTCCAGAATCTTCTTTGGTGAAATTAATGAAATGTGATTTTTCTTTCCTGTGGCAGTTAATATGTAATGTTTGTGATATTTTAACCAAGAGAAGTAGATCAGGTTAATACACTTAATTCTTAACTGCATTTCATTTTTGTGGGTATTTTTGTTTGTTTTGTTTTCTAGTGGCTTTTCATGGCCTACCACTGAAAATCAAGAAAGAACCCCACAGTCCATGTTCAGAACTCGGCTCTGCCTGCAGTCAAGAACACCCCTTTAAATTCAGCTATGGAGAAAAGTGCCTGTACAATGTCAGGTAAAGCCATCAGGTGTATATAGGATCGCGGTTCTTATCAAGACAAAAAAGTCCAGAATCTAATATCAAATCTCAAGTCAACTTTTATGAGTCATATCTTCAGCATATAATTAGGTAATGTGCTTAGTAGAACTCCAAAAAGCCATTTACCATCCAGTCACACACTTTTAGAATAACTTTAAAGCAGTCATTTTCACACACATTATTGGTTGCTTTTCCTATTCAGTGATATATCCTTGGTGGGAAAAGAGGGTCTTACTTGGCCTAAGCAGCTATTGAAAGTTCTTATGAGAATGAATGCATTATGCACTTTAGATAGAGTTTGTAGAAAAAAAAAAAAGAAACATTTGGCATGTCTCAGCAGTACATTAGTTATCTGACAGGCTTTGCAGATGATCTATAAGATGTGTTTATGGACAATTGTAATAAACTTAGGATTTTATAAGGCTTAGCAGAGGCTATTATCTATTAAAAAGCCAGTTTTTTCTTCTGATGATAATAAAGGGTGGAGCAATAAAAGTACATTGTTCATTTGTTAGAAAATTTGATAACATACATGTTCATTAAAAACCCTTCTCAGTAAATTGCATTCTGCTACTTTTCATATCGGCCTCTAATTGCATAAGGAAGAAGTTGGCTCTGTGTATTGAGTATTATTACTCTCAATTATAGTGGAAACTTGGTTCTTAAAAGGAGTTAGGCTGGAAACTTTAAAAATGATTATAAATACTTGCCATTTTATAAGTTAGGTGGATTCAAGTTCATAATACATTATTATCTAAATGGATCTTACATTTTTCGTATGTGTTGACTACTTGTACTCTATACCAGGAGATATAAGATTCAAGAAACTTAGATTTTTGTAATCTCTCAGCACCTGACCAATGCTTACATATTCTATTACTGTTCACTCTTGCACACTCAAACTTGTCTTTGATATCTGCTTTTCTTAGGAGGGTTACCAGAGGCTGAAATTATGAGCCAGTTCAAATAAAACTACAAAGCTGTTATAAAAAAGATATCCTGTGGATACTAACTATTAAAGCATACTCGGTTTAGATAAAACAATATTGATCTGAGTTTCATTTTATAGTGTTTCTATTTTCTCAAGAGTGTTATGTATTCACAAAATAATTAACATATTGGAGAATGTTTAATTAATGAGCCAAAGAGATACAGAATTGTTATTGAGTTTCAGCATTGATTAGAAGTGTGTATGAAATAACCACTGCTTTATATGCTATATCTAATATCCATAAATCAACAGTAGAGGAATTGCCTGAATTTTTTGAGGTTCTTCCTGGGACCAGTAATTCCCATAGGAATCTATGGATTAAATGCTGGTACTTCCTTCTACATACAAACTATAAATATAACATTTCATGGAGGGGGGGAGTAATATCCTAGAACAAAGGATATTTCATCTTTTCTTTTTACCTGGGAAAGAGTTAGGTGAACCATTTTATAGAAGTAGATTCTCATGTAGAAATATTGGTAAAGAAAACAAGTATTAATAGAACCAAACATAATGAGTATCATTAGTTGTACTTAAAAGCAAGAACAGACTTAAACACCATATACTACTTCACTCCTATAAAGTATTCTTACATTCAGATGTCATTCTATTGTATAGATGGAGCAACAGAACAAATTATTACATTAGACAAAGCAAAAAGAAATGTTTTTGTTTTAAAATAAAAATATGTATTGATGAATTCTTTATACTTTACAAGGGAATACAATATTTTAACCTGGTAATATCTCCTTAATTTGGAAATATAAGTAAAATTTGTTTTTAGTAAAATATTTTTTAGATCACAAAAATTAATTAGATCACATCCTTGAAAGGCATACATAGGAAAATCAACTAAAATTCATAAACAAGCTCACTCATTTTATTGCTTTGCAAATGTTTAAAAGTTAGATTATAATAATAGGATGTTATTCTTAAGAACATCATTTTGTTCTTATACTCCAAGAAAGTTTAAATATATCAGAGAGATTTTAATTTGCTTCATTAATCTTTATTATCCCATATGAGGAAGTTAATAGCAAGCATCATTTATTTTATATAAAAAATGAAAATAAAGCCAAAGCATTGCTTTCTTAAAATTTTACCACAAATAAAGTCAAGCCAGGTATGATCTCCATCTTATTAAACTGATGTTCTTATTCTGAAATCTAATGTAATATAGAAGAATTATAATATCAGGGTAATTTAATGAAGTAGAAAAGATCTATAAAACTTTCTCCAGGAGACAGATGAAGAAGAGATGGAAATTATGCCAGTGCTTTCATAGATAGTGCTTTTCTTCCTACTAAATTGTTTATCTGTATGTTAAAAACATACACTTTATATATATGCTATTACTAATTTATTACTTATTCTGTTTTCTGTTAAAGTACGTGCCAGTTTTGAAGATTACATGTTCTAGAATTACAAACACCAAAAGACATGAAATTCTGATTTCTTTATGACTTAAGCCTAAAATGTTTTGTTGTTTCCTTAGGTTAAATTTTTTTTTTAATTCTCCAAAGAAACAAATACTCTCTTTTTTTCCTTATGCCGTGGGTAGTGCCTATGATCAGAAGCCACAAGTGGGAATGAGGCCCTCCAACCCCCCAACACCATCCAGCACTCCAGTGTCCCCACTACATCATGCATCTCCAAACTCAACTCACACTCCGAAACCTGACCACGCCTTCCCAGCTCACCTCCCTCCGTCACAGTCCATGCAAGACAGCAGATACCCCATGGATCACAGGTATATTGAAAATACTGTTTTTGTCGAAAATTGTTTTTAGTATTCGTGGAAGAACTTCTGTTGCCAGTTCCTAAGACCTACAGTAGATTGAGGGTGAGCATATTAATTTTGCGCATCTTGGCAAAATATTTTTAGGAAGAGCTTGCCCTCTCTATAATTATAAATAATCAGTGAAGAAGATCACTTATAAAGAATTCTTTTATAAACATTTAACTTTGTTGCTAAAATGGAGAATTAATCTATGTACTGACATTTGAAAACCTCCCCTTTGCTTTGCCTGAATTAAATTGCTTCACTCACACTTTAAATCAGATCATGGCATTTTTATTTTTTTTTATGAGCATATGCGTGTACTTGTTCTACAAAGTTAGGAGACTAATTTTAGTAGGTGGCTTATGGAATTAGGTTCTTTACCTTAGTTTGAATAGCATAGCTGTACAGTTTTGCAGAGCAGAACTTATTTGATTAAAATCATTTTCCATACTTTCCATGTTATGAATATTTAATGCTAGTAGACATACGACCCTGGACACTGAGAATATAAAGTTAAAGAGATAGAGGTCAAATTAGTATTACTTAGAAAGGAGCAAAGCAAGGACTAGAGCATGGAACTAGGAAGAAAACCGTGGTAGATTATTCCTAATTCCTAGATATGAGTAGATTTACATTTGAATAACATGTTAGGAGACTTTTAGAGGTCTTAATATAGCTTAAAACACCTGTTGATTATGTACCTCATTTTTCTTTCCCCTTCTATCTTGTACTTGTATAGAACCAGTGGTGTGCTGGTAAATATTTAACAATAGGCTCTATGGGAGAAAACCCAAAAGACCTGATCTGTAGATGTTTGATATAAATATTCCCCCATGGCTGACTGGAAGCTACCAAGGTGACAACCTTGAATGTAAAATTGGAAAGAGAGGTGCAATAACACTCCATTTTATATTGTTTCTACCATGTAGATGCTATAGTCATAATCTCAATGATAAAATTAATAGTAACTCTAGTAATAAGGTAGTAATAGGGTTTGAATATTAATAGCCTCTGTTTGTAATATAATTTTTAAAAAATATATATATAAATTTACATAATTTTCTTCATAATGGCTGTCTAACAATTGACTTACAGAAATTCTGAAAATCTAATAATAAGCCAGGACAAACTGGCTCTGACACTATTAGGAAAAGAACTCAGCCAAAGTCATCCACTGTATCAGCAGATGTGCACCTGGAAAAGAAGGGAATACTCAGCTCTGCTTTTTCTGGGTTATTTACACTAACTCAGACTCACATTCAGTCCAACTCTGTTGGTGTGAAAAGCTAAGATGAAAGCATTCTTTCCAACGTGAAACTAAGCTGCATCATGTCTACCTTTACTTCCACCATGAAGTCCTCTCTTGCTTTAGTTACTAAATGCTCCCAGGGATCTTTGCCTTCACACCCCATAGACTTGAGACCTCAGCGCACAATGGTATGCGCATCTGTGTAAACAGTTTGGTAAATGCCGTGGCAGGGTGGGCCACTAAACAGAGGCACATTGTGCAGGGCTAAGAGGGGGAAAGAGTGAACAAAAGAAGAAGCCAGTGTATTTTGTCCACTTCTAATGACTTCCCAGAGTTCTTGCTACCTGAGGCTCTCACTTTCAAACGAGTGCCAGGATGTAGAGTTGGCTCTTGGTGCGGAAAAGCTATTTCTATGGGAAGGTGGCTGGTGAACAAGCAATGTGCCTGTTTTCAGGTGACCTAACTTGAAATGCTTTAGCCAAATCCATTTGAGTTTCTCTACTTGAAGTCAAATAGCTGAGACTGAGAACAGCCGGTCCGGAACTACCAGAGGGAAGCTCAGGGTCTTTTCCCACTGCCCCCCTTGGTGCGCTGAGGACAGTACCAGCTGGCCCATCCCAGGGAAATCTCTGAAGCCGTATGTTTCTGAGGAGGATTTCTTGGAGGGCTCGAGCCAACAAATGACAGTCCCTCAGTTATAAATGGCAACTTTTCTCTGGGAACAGATCCTTTCCCCAAATAGTCCCCTCCAGCCTGGGCACCTCTCCTTATCGGGGCTGCCCCCTGCTTTCTTTCCACGGCTCATTGGGCTCTTCAGGTCAGCCCTTTGGCTCTTTCTTCTGAACCCGCTGTGAAGGAGCCTGGCCTCTCTTCTCACTCTTTCCCACCGTTAGAGACTGTGCTCCTTTACCCAAGAGGTCATTGCCAGGCTACCCTTACCTGTTAACCCTCTTCAGAAGCTTCTTGAGTCACCTTCTCTGTAGGGGTAGGTCAGCTGCCCTAAGAATGACATGTCAGCGTAAGAAACCTATGAAGCATTTTTTTTTTTTTTTTTTTTTTTTTTTGTGAGTGTGAGCCAAACTGTCCGCAACTGCAAGGAAGTGAAATCTCTGAGATAATGCTTGGAGAGTGGCAGTTTTACACCTTATTTTATACATGGCAGTCAAAGGAGATGATGCAAGTGGGTTACGTAAAATCCACAGGTGATAGACTAGGGAGGTGGGAGAAAGCAAAGCAAGGGTGGGGGTGGAGGTGGAGGAGACCTCTGGGATTGGATGAAAAGTCAAATGATAGACAGTACACCTTTTGCATAGATGGGTATAGGATAGTTAAGTCAACAATGAACATGATAAAACAAAGATGATTTATGGTCTCTGCCCTGAGAGGTCTGGAAAAGGGGAGCTACCCTGACATTCCCAAGGCATGTTATCATAGATGCAAAAGACAATAGACAGGCTTAGTTAAAGTAAAGGTGGACCTTTGCCAGGGAAGATACCGACTGATGACATGACTACCCACAATAACTGCTTTTAGTTAAAAAAAAAAAGTTTTAATTTCAAGCCACCCTTTGTGGTTACTTTAGGTCTCTGGGTTTGCAAGTCCTCCATGCAGACCTTCCTGGGATAGTCAGTTAGCACATGGCCCTTTTACAAGCACAGGCACCACTAACTGGTAGCTGCCTATGAAGCAGGTGTGTGATAGGTGATGTGGTCCTCAGAATGTACCAACTGGAATCAGGTTCATTCCTAACAATAAAGGGCTGATTCCTTACAAAGCTTTTAGTACACGTGGTATTCACTTCCTTTCAAAGGCTTCCTGGGTGAGCTGGGTCCTTATTTTAACTTCAAATTAAAATTTTCTGATTCACTCCTTGACAGTTCTTAATGATAATTTCTGTGTTGTGTGTTTTATTTTTTACTAATGAAATAAGCAAGGGAAGGGAAATGGGTGCACTGCCAGTCAGTCTCACTGTTTTTGCAATATCGGAGTTTCTAAGTTTATTTTCTGCGGGTGTAGGTAGGATTCTGGTACTTACCAGAGCAGCTGAGGAGACTCGAGTGAAATCACAGGGTTCAAGCTTCTTAGATATGCTAAAGCAACTGCTTTGCAATTCTTCAGCTTTTACCTTATTTTCATTTAAGGTTACCAAAATTAAATGTTAACTTTCCAAATTAAGATCTCTAAAATGCTTTTAATGGAGTGAGGGGGAAAGAAGGGAGCTATTTAATAGGCTTCTATTTGCTCATCGTAATGTGGGGTAGGTTATTTTTAAGCACTCCTGGGCATTTTTAGAGCACGTTTAAATCTTTAATTAATCCACATCTTTGTGGTGGGCCAATGATATTACGGAGGAGAAACATGGAACGGACTGAGCACAAGACTAGCCAATTCTTATAGAGTTTACCAAGCAGGAAGGAGCAGAGACTCACTCTCAGCCTCCTGCTAAGACCTCCAAACTTCTTCAGGGCCTTAACAGCACAGCCAGTCCTATGTCCATGCAATGCACCACGCTATTTTCGTCTTTGGAGCTCTGCTGAATATCGTATGCTTATTTTGATCAACTTGAGATTTCATTAGAAGCTATTCGAAGCCAATGTGTTGTGTTACTGTTTGGTAGTAAAGAGGTGGTCTTTTAAAAATAAGCTTGGTTTAGTCTCTACATAATTTAGCTTCATTTATCAGTAGAATATAGCGTTCTTTAGGACATTGTTGAAGACTTAAGAGCCCTGCCCACTTGAGAAGATAGTTATTTCTCTTTTGCTTCCTCAGAACTGATGGAGGAGGAAGGAAAACCAATAGGTAGCTTTTTATTTGGTTGATTTTGTTTATTTGTGGATTAGTTAGGTAACAGAATTAAAAGGTAAAGGATATAGTTTGAGATCAGATTCTTTCAAATTTTGCCCCCTAGTATATAATTATTTAAGGCCCTCTTAATATGAAAATTTGTTAAATGATCCAGTTGATTTAGGATTGGGTGTTTTTACTCTAAGGGTATGTGTTTTCTCAAAGTAATGAACTGTTCTCCTAGGCTTACTCAAAGCACACCTTTTACGTATAGTATTGTACCAAACTGCTGCTGCTAGTGACTAATTAGAAGGGGAACACCTGTCTTATTAAGATTAAAAAGCCCAGTGCTACTGACCCGGGAAAGCGAAATGAAATAATTATTAAACATTTATGCCTTAGATCAGTTGGTATCATGTTCATGATATAGTTAAAAATTGTGCCAGTATTTTAAAGAGTATTCCTTGTTATTGTTCTATTTGAAGCATGCTCTCTTATTTCCCAGGTTTCGCCGCCAGCTTTCTGAACCCTGTAATTCCTTTCCTCCTTTGCCAACGATGCCAAGGGAAGGACGTCCTATGTACCAACGGCAGATGTCTGAGCCCAACATCCCCTTCCCACCTCAAGGCTTTAAGCAGGAGTACCACGACCCAGTGTATGAACACAACACCATGGTTGGTGGCGCGCCCGGCCAAAGCTTCCCCCCACCTCTGATGATTAAACAGGAACCCAGAGATTTTGCATATGATTCAGGTAGGCCCACGTTTTAAGTTACATTTAAGACATATTTTCACTGGCTGCCTCCTTTGAGTAGTGTTGGCATCAGACTGGATGGCTCCTGACTACTTTTTTGGTGTGAGATCTTTCTGATTTTACCACTTCTTTGAACCTTTCTACATGAAGGATGGGGCTATCAAGCCATTTTATCATGAACTGATGGTTGAAGTAGTGTCTAGATATGAAACCAGTACAAAGCAGAGTACAGTTTGTAAAATTAGACACACCCTCAGCCCAAGAGAGTAAGTAGCCTTGTAATTCTTTTCTAGATACTCGGCTTTTTTTCTATTTGCTACTAAAGGACTATCTAATTAACAGTGTTTACAGAGAGTAATGTTCTGCACTGGGTCACTTATTGCATGTAGCTATTTGGTTTTTTTGTTTTTGTTTTTTGTTTGTTTGCTTGTTTGTTTTTTTCCTTGTAGCAAGATTCCAAGGCTCCAGAATGAAAGATTCTTACATGCTAGGAGAAGAAAACAGAAATACAGATTTTTGGTTTATTCATAGAGTTTAGCTTTAGTCTTCCTGAAGCAGAAAGGCCTACCAAGTAGTATATCAAGACGGAGAAGGAGTTTTCCTAAAAATAAGGGGCTTTTAAATATTTTGCAGATGTTGCCACTAAATTTAACATTGAGACTTTAAAAGAATTAATTCATTTGTGTGAATTTTCAAATTCAAGACATCTGTTTTTCAGACATCTCAAGAACTTCTTTTTTAAAAAAAATATAAAATAAAGGCTAATGCTTATATGAAGGGTACCCTGAATTTTCAAGGTATTATTAACATTGAAACTGTGGTCATTAGAAGGTTGTGGACTTGGAAATGTCTGGAAACAAAATAATTTCCTTTTGTTAGGATGCTAAATTATGAAAGGAACTAATGCTTCTCTAGGAATAATTGCTGAGTTTTTCTATCAGTTCTACTCAAGGAAAGAATATTGTGTCTGAGTCTTGAGTTTCCAACTTGCATAAAACCACTTGCTTTGTTATAAATTACCTTAAAAGCTTGGCAAGAAGGAGCCCTATAACTGAGAATCTCCCCCTGACTGTTGGCCGCCCTTCCTCTTTGGGCAAGAAATTCCAAAGAAACTTAAAAAGAGGAACTGCCCACTCAGGGGCCCTGCCTTCATTTCTACCCAAGACCCATGAATTCTCTGCCCATCCAGCCGTCCCAGGGCTCGTTTTCTGAAGGCAGAGCACACTGCTCCTATGTGTACCCCTAAGTCTAGGGAGGTGCCAAAAGGCAGCTGCTTGTAGGAGGATGAGGATGGAGCTTGGGTTAGTCCTTATGCTTACATGTGAGGCCCCATGGTGTTTGTTGCAAAATGTGGGCTTAAGGAATAGGAAGAGAAGCAAAAAGTAGGTTGAGTTGGGGGTCTGAAGATTGAAAGCTAGCTCCAAATCATCCTATTCTAGAGCTAATCTTAGAAATTTTCCCAAGTTTCAGGTTTAACCTAGCTTTCCAGGTTGTAATGGTGGTATATTTTCAAGGAATGAGAGTAGAAAAATATGCTTAATTACTTATCAGTTTATTTGGTTAACTTATAATTTTAAAAAATTAAACATACGGTGGAAAGGCTTTTATTTGAATTCTTGCCCAGACCCTATAATTTGGAGACTAATCCTGAAATGCACCATAATGTGTTCAGTTTAGAACCTTTCTTATTTGTCTATGCTTTATGTCCATAATTAAAAACTCTGCAATATAATTACAGATAGGATTCATTTTTCTCTGTAAATTTCAAATCCCGTTAACTGGTGTTATCTTTATTCCAAATGACATTTTAATTTGCTGCATAGTATTTGAATTCACCATGGTTTCAAGAAAATTTACATGGAAATTATATAAAATAGCTCAAATAATTGGTTCAAAAGCACTTGTAAAGCATAACATTGAAAAAGATTCTTTGTGTGTTGTAGAAATGTGTTGGTTTGTTGATATTGTTGTTGTTATTTGTATATCCCAGCAAGGTTAACACTGAAACAATTTTCTTGATTTTTGTGGAGATTATACTAGTATATAGTATATGTAACATGGTGTTGAAAAGCAATTTAAATAATCCAAGGAGGAGGGCAAAAATAGGAGCTGGTGCTATAAGATTTAATTGCATTACTTATGGGCCATGTATAATAAGAACTTTAGGGTTAGTCACTGTCTGACTCACAGCACAGATTTAGTCACTTATAATCTAAAAAGCATAGTCCATGCCTTAGCTCAGATTGTTATACTAAACAAAATACCATCAGTTGGGAAGCTTAAACAGCAGACATATATTTATCACAGTTCTGCAGGCTGGGAAGTGCAAGATGAAGGTGCCAGCAGGTTTGGTTCCTGGTGAGGGCCCTCTTCCTGTCTTGCAGATGGCCACTTTCTCACTGTGTCCTCAATGGCTAAGAAAGACAGTGAGGGAGCTCTGGTCCCTCTTCTTGTAAGAACACCAGTCCCACTCTGGGCACCAACCCTGAAGAGCCACTGTAACTAATCACCTTCCAATGGCCACACCTCAAAATACTATCCATGGGGCAATACGTCTTCAACAGTGGGTTTTGGAGCACATAATGATTCAGTCCATAACAGTATCCAATTTTAAAGAAACCTACAGTATCTCTTGTAAGTAGACCATATACCTTGTAAATGACAGTACAATATTTGCTTAATATTTGAGAAGCAGTTAATTTATGTTATTTTCTCCCCTCGAAATTACATTTCAAATCGCTAAACTACAGCATCTTTGCATTCTAATTTTAACATTGCCAATAGGATATAGTTGCTAGCTTGAAGCATTGACTAGCAAGGTTTTATCTTCTGGATATGCTCTAAAAAGAACTGTAGCAGCAGTGTAACCGGAGCCTATGAAAAATCCGTGGGTATCAAAAGTATTCTACTGGCTATGAAATTGCTGCAAGTTGACACATCTATTTATCATACATTATAGTCAATAAATATGATCTCCAGGTATTTGTTTTGTTGTCAGTAGTTCTTTCATTCTTGCAGAGAACACATTCAATGACATTTATAGAAAATCTAACGTATTTATCACTGAACCACTGATTTCTTGGTTCACTTATTGATGGTGAATACGTACACATTAGAAAATATTTTATGTGATTTATAAACAATGTAAAAAATGTTTCATAGTCAATTTACTCAGGATCTGTAGTCAAAGGATATATTTTCAGAAGGCCTCTAGAACTCTTTATTGCTTAATTCAATTTTACATCAATGTTGTGAATATAAAGTAAGCTTTCCAAGTGGAAAGGCTGCATGATTATACTTCTAATAAAGCCTGACATTAATTATGACATGGGAAATGGAAGGTCTATTAGTTATAATTGTAATTACAGGAATGCAATTTCAACTGCAGAGGATTTAAGCTAAAAAAAAAAAAAAAAGCACAATAGTAGAGTAGAAATTTTTATTCAGGAGAGAAGAGAAAAGCTTGGAGCAGAAGACACTAAGGGGATAAGCAATTGATAGGGCCAATTTGGTGAACCAGTACAATGGGATCATGATTATATTGTATTAAAAATCTAAATAGTCTGATTACATCTATTACTGTTTTCCTTCTCTTAATCTCTATTTTGAATGGTGCTGCCTAAAGCAATATACAGGCTTATGGTCGGTTGGTTGTTTTTTTCTGAATCGTACGTGATTTTCTCTCTCTTCCTCTATGGCCAATAGTGGAATATGTATTGAGAGCCTCCATTGGCGTGCCTTACACAGTACCCACTTTCATAGAATCAGTTATTTTCCCATGTTCATGCTTATTTATGAGACTTTGCTGGTTTGAAGACCCACTGAGACAGATATTTTAGATATTTCATCACAACATTTTGTTAGAATTGTTTTAGTTGATTTTTTTTTGTTTCATTTTTTATTCTTTTGTTAGCTTAGGGTAGTACTTTTAAGGGGTGATAGGCAGATGAAGCTAAATTTTCATGACTGGGAGGCATCTTCCTAACTAATTAGAATTATAACCTAAGAGCTGGGGTTGAAGACTGGGAAGGAGAACTCTCAGGGACATGCAGAAGGTTGCTGAAATGAGAAAATACAGGAAAGTACTTAGCTTGAGTTCAGGGGAGGAGGATGAAGTAGAGGTTGGGTAAAAAGCTGACATATCTCCAGAAGAAAATGCTTTTTGTATTTTTTTTTTAAGTGTGCTTTCTAAGCCACTCCTGCTGGTACTGATGAGGTCTTCTTTCAATTTGAAGGCATGTAACATTTCTGTGTTGGCAAATGTTGTCAGCACTATTTTAAACTGGGAAATAGACACAAGTAGTCGTTTCATAGAATTATAAATATTTACACTCATGAGCTCTTGGCGATCACCTCATTCATATTCCTTCTCCATGTCCCAGTTGTCCAAGGCTCATCTGAGGTCACTGTCATCGGTTACACAGGTGATTTCTGAAACAGTCAAAATGAGAACCAAGGCTTTCTTATTCTTAGTTTAGTGCAAGTATATTTTTCTATGTAATTGTTGAAAATAAACACTTTAATCCATAATTAGCTACATATATCATTCTTTTTTTCTTATTTTTGGACTAAATATGTTTCTATGAGGTTTAAAAGCTCTGTATTATCCAGGGAAATAGAAGTGTTTGTGTTATGACCAGAAGCATGTTTTTTTCTAATCTGAGGGTGTATATTTCACATTAGTAGTCCAAATTTATCCTGTTAGGTGTTCCCTGATGTGAGATAAGAAAATATAGGACTTCAAATGATATTTAGGCTTAGAATACATTCTATTTCTTTCTGTCTTTGTCTTTCTGTCTTTGTCTTTCTGTCTTTGTCTTTCTTTCTATCTTTCTGTCTTTGTCTTTCTTTCTTCCTTCCTTCCTTCCTTCCTTCCTTCCTTCCTTCCTTCCTTCCTTTCCTTCCTTCCTTCCTTCCTTCCTTCCTTCCTTCCTTCCTTCCTTCCTTCCTTTCTTTCTTTCTTTCTTTCTTTCTTTCTTTCTTTCTTTCTTTCTTTCTTT